CTTTCAGTACATCTCTAGAATGGCTCTCGTTGACACGTCTCGGTGCGTCGGCTGTGTTACATGTTTTAGACGATTTCTTATTCATTGCACCTACCGAGGATAAGTGTCGTACAGATCTCAATAATTTCATGGGCATGTGCGATTACCTTGGAGTCCCATTAGCTCCAGAGAAAACGGTGGGCCCTGAGACAGYTCTACAATTCACGGGTATTACTTTAGATTCTGTCAAAGGCGAGACCCGATTACCTGATGATAAGCTTCAAAAATGTCACACTCTTCTTCGTTCGTTTTATAAAAAGCGGTCAGTCACGCTAAGGGAATTACAATCCTTACTAGGCCTTTTAAATTTTACTTGCTCTGTGATCGTTCCAGGTCGCGCTTTCCTGCGCCGCATGATTGATCTTACCAAGGGTCGCCTTAATCCCTATCATCATATTCGTTTAACTCAGAAAGTCAAAAAAGATATTATAACGTGGTGTCAATTTCTAGACGCCTACAACGGCAAATCGTTTTTTCTGGGGGAAAAATGGGAGACGTCTTCTACCCTCGAACTATACACAGATGCCGCGGCATCACTTGGTTACGGGGCTATCTTTGGTAAGCATTGGTTTTGCGGCGCTTGGCCGGCTTCTTGGAAATCCTTTAACATCGCATTTCTAKAATTTTTTYCTATTGTTATTGCCATACATATCTGGGGGTCAAATATGGCTAATAAGTGTGTTACGTTTTTCACTGACAACGCAGCAGTGGTTGAAATCATTAATCGACAGACCTCAAAAGATAAGATAATTATGATGTTGACACGTGACTTGGTATTAAGTTGTTTACGCCATAATATCTTATTTCGAGCACAACATGTGCCAGGTTTAAGTAATAGTCGTGCCGATTTAATTTCCCGCTTACAGGTAGACAAATTCAAACAGCTCATGCCCGACGCGGACGAGTGCGCTACGGTGATACCCGCGAACCTTCTGCCGGAGAGTTGGTCTCTAACTTAGGTGTTCTCTTACGCTCGGCTTTGTCTGAGGGCTCTCGTACTTCTTATCGGCGAGCTTGGTCGGTTTTTAGTACTTTTCACCAGAGATTCTACGGATCTCCTCAACCAAATTTACCTCTAAAGCCCGATGTAATAGCTTTGTTTATTTCATACCTTTCGGCTAAGAAATTGGCTTGTTCCACTATTTCATCATATTTATCCGCGATCGGATATTTACTACCCTGGGTGCCAGAGGCCGTGTGGGGCTTGGGGGCGAGAGAGAGAGAGAGGGAGGAGGGGGCCTCTGGTCACAGGAGCCGACAGCCTCACTTTCACGAGTTCAGAATTTTAATGAGCACGAAAAACCGGTTTTGGTTTGTTTTGGTATAATACGGCACGAGGGGTAGTACACGTGGAGCAATCATCCTCCCTCTCTCTCTCTCTCGCCCCCAAGCCCCACACGGCCTCTGGCACCCAGGGTAGATATTTACACAAGCTTCAAGGGCTTCAAGATCCGACAAGAGCATTTTTAATTCAAAAGCTCGTGACAGCTTTAAATCGTCGGCGTCCGTTTGATGTACGGTTGCCAATCACTCGCCCACTGCTCCACGACTTAGTCCAGGCCCTCAGACATACCAACTCTTCTGCATTTCAAAGAGTCCTCTATTCTGCTATGTTTTTGCTAGCCTTTTACGGGTTTTTCCGTGTAGGAGAGTTAGCTGCCAAGAGTGCACAGTCTAGAGACACGGTTGTTCAATTTAATGCTTTAKCTTTCCTGATGACCCAAGGTAACCTCCACTCAGCTAAGATTACCATCATTGATTACAAACATAACACGAGGCGCCGGCCTTTTGACGTGTTAATCGATCGTGAAGATTCCCAGCCATTCTGTCCCGTCAAATCTCTCTCACAATATTGTCATCTTAGAGGAGGGCTGGCGGGGCCACTTTTTTGCCATCAAGATGGAAGTCCAGTTACGGTGTCACAGTTTAACACCGATCTTAAAAGGTGTTTGATATTCTGTGGCCTTGACCCAGAGCGGTACAAGAGCCACAGCTTTCGCATCGGCGCCTCCTGCCACGCTGCTGACAATGGCTTCTCTGATGCCCAAATACGTACTCTGGGCCGCTGGAAATCAGACGCTTTTAAAATTTATCTTAGGTCACCTACTGCTCAGGCCAATTGAATTTCAAACATGTTCACGCGTCCGCTTGATGACACAGGTAGGGTCAGTCAGGGGCTGCTTATCTGTGTTATCGCCACCGGATATATCGTGTTACAGAGTATTTGGCACGCAATTAACGCACACGATAAATCTCTGGCTCTTAAAGTTGGTTAGACATGGGCTACTTCTTCAAGGGTCAATCTCTTGTACAATTTATGGGTCAGTCAAGGGCTGTTTATCTGTTTTTTTATCTGAATCGGATATTTCGTGTTATATATACTATATCATATTTAGGTAGATTGCTTTAGCAGGCAAGGAACGCATACGCTAAATCTCTGGCTCGTGAAGTTGGTTAGACAGGGGCTACTTCTTCACAGGTCAATCTCTGGTCCAGTTATATGGTTTAATTTTAACTCTCTCTTTCCTTGTCCGCACCTTGCATCGCGCCTTGGTGGGGCCGCCACAGTATGTGGCTTGTGGCGTGTTTATTCTCGCCCCACCTTTGCCGAAGACATAGCTTCTTTGGGTTTTGGTATTTTGTACGATTATAGAGATTTATTGATTATTAAACTTGCCACTAGCGTGGCCAAAATTATTCCAAAACCAATATCTCCTGTCTTCTCTTTCGCAAACTAGTGCGTCGCGATGCAAGCCTTGGACGGTAGTTAACTTTAGTCTAAATAAATTTACAGAATGTTTCGACATAAATAATGCATATATTTTAAAAAGTTGTGAAAATGGCCAAAAATCGATCAAAACCATGGGCTATAGTCAATGCTTTTTTCCCCAAAATGACCTTATTTACATTTTTTCATAAATAATGCATATTTCTTCAAAAGGTGTGAAAATGGCCCAAAATCGATCAAAACCATGGGCTATACTCCATGCTTTTTGCCCCAAAATGCCCAAAAATGACCTATTTTCGATACTTCATAAATAATGCATACTTTTTAAAAAGGTGTGAAAATGGTCCAAAATAGATCAAAACCATGGGCTATAGTCCATGCTTTTTGCCCCAAAATGACCTATTTTCGATACTTCATAAATAATGCATATTTTTTCAAAAGGTGTGAAAATGGCCCAAAATCGATCAAAATCATGGGCTACTCCATGCTTTTTGCCCCAAAATGCCCAAAAATGACCTATTTTCGATACTTCATAAATAATGCGTATTTTTTGAAAAGGTGTGAAAATGGCCTAAAATCGATCAAAACCATGGGCTATAGTCAATGCTTTTTGCCCCAAAATGCCCAAAAATGACCTATTTTCGATACTTCATAAATAATGCATATTTTTGGAAAAGGTGTGAAAATGGCCCAAAATCGATCAAAACCATGGGCTATAGTCCATGCTTTGTGTCCCAAAATGCCCAAAAATGACCTAATTTATATTTTTCATAAATAATGCATATTTTTTAAAAAGGTGCGAAAATGGCCCAAAATCGATCAAAACCATGGGCTATAGTCCATGCTTTTTGCCCCAAAATGCCCAAAAATGACCTATTTTCCATACTTCATAAATAATGCATATTTTTTCAAAAGGTGTTAAAATGGCCCAAAATCGATCAAAACCATGGGCTATAGTCCATGGTTTTTACCCGAAAATGGCCAAAAATGACCTATTTTCGATACTTCATAAATAATGCATATTTTTTTAAAAGGTGCATGTGAAAATAGCACACACACACACACACACACACAAATAATAGTAATAATACGATAATGATATTTAAGGCTTTTATGCAGTACTGAGTATTTGGAAAGAACCCAAGTACTTGATTATTTTTAGTATTATTTTTTTAAATACTTTTTTTTACTTTTTTGTTTCTCTAAATTGTCTTAACATGTCAGTTATCCAAGGCGATTTGCTAAATTAAAAAATGAGAGTTTTTGGAATTACAGCTATACTTCGCTGATTCCATACACATTTTCTCTGCCCTCCACTAGTGTCCATACATCCACAAGTACCAAAGGTGAAATGATCAATTTACATCTTAAATAAAATAAATGCATTAATTCGACGGACCTTCACTAAACACAAGAATATTCTACACTCAACAAAGGCTAGCCCCGAGAATTTCAAACGAATTTTTACAATAACTTACAAATTTCTCGCGCGCTGATTGGTTATTTTTTATCACCAATAAGAGGACAGACAGATAAAGCTGACGTCAACAAAAATAAAAAACTGATGTCTATTTGGTAAAAAAGCGTTTTTCGAATAAGTAGGAAATAAACGGTACTGAATTTCTCAACATTGACAGGGAATTCTGTTCGTGTGAATTACTTAATCACGTTTGCTACGTTAACAGTAAGATTAGTGACGGTTCATTTTTTAGGGGGGAGGGGTTGGGGGCTGGATGGATTTTTGTGAGTTGTAAGCAAAAAAATGTATGATCCCTTCCCAACTTGAATTATTTTACGTGGCCTCCTATTAAAACAGGATAATTTTAAAAATAAATTCTCTATTTATCTAATTATTTTTGGAGTGGCCCCTCATTAAATGCCATATTATTTACGTACCCCCCCCCCCCTCCCCCCGGGTCTCTTCATAGGCACCGGATGAGTATGATTTTGAGTTTACCGTTATTTCCACTCTTACGAAAACCGCTCAGCTTTGAATCTAGCTCACTAGGTAGCAGGATCTTTTATTTTACTGAGGAAAAAGCGTTCAACGATGTTGGCACATTTGTAATATTCCGTGTCAGGGGAGTTATACGTGCGGCAGTTCTCGAAGATCCGTCTAATGTCAGCGATGAATAGCTTCTTGGAGCTGTAATAACCACTCTTTAGTCGTTCTGTCATCGTCTTGAAATCTGAAATCCAAAATACATTTGTTTTCTTTTCGATGAGAGGAGAGGGGAGTCTACAAATCATTTTCAAAAAGCCCTCCCGTCAAATTTTACTGACCACACTCATCATAGTCCTATTCTTCCGCGCCATTTGAATATTATGGCACGAGTATTTTAGATTTAAATGCCCCGGTTGTACGAAGAGTGGATAGCGCTATCCGACGAATAAATCCCGCCTCATTAAGTGGATAAGTCGATTATCCTGATACGTTATCCAATAAGTTTATTCGCTGGATAAGTTTTATCCGTCGGATAGCGCTATCCACCCTTCGTACAACAAGGCCCTGGTCGCTAAAAAGGGGTCAGAAATTAATCATAATAATTGAGGAAACGACCCGGTCGCTAAAAAAAGGTCTGGACCTTATACACGTATGAATCCTATGTAAAACGACCTGGTCGTATTACAAAGGTCTTGGATATCAAAAAAATCAAACCAGGACACGAAATCTTGAACCATCAATGATAAAAGCTTTGCAACGACCTAACCCCTTATGATGGTTTTGACCCAAAAAAGTTCAGACTAAATTTGATTGACTTACCCATTGGGTACTTGATGTGGTCGTAGTAGTCAGGTGCTTCTGATCGCTCTACAGGTTTCTGGAATGGCCAGGAACTTGCATGGTTCTGAGGAAAAGTAAAACCAATTAAAAACGTAAAGTTACAGTAACTATTTGTAACGTCGTTAGTTCTTTAGCTACGAGGCTGGTATCCAGGGAGTCGACAGTAAGCGCTTTACACCCTCTCTCCATCAGTGCTCTGTTTTAAAGAGTATTCAAGGCTGAAGCTACACGGATTAGAGAGAAGTCAAAACAGACTTGTAGATCCTGAGGATTGAAACGTGTATCTCTCGCTCCAAAGGTATCGTGCTAGAACTTTTAAATCTCCAACGTGTCATATTTCTAGTCTTCGTGTATCAACACCTGATTCATACATAGAGGATATTACATGGGCGCGCGGAGATACGAAATTTATCTTCGAGTGTTGAAAACTTGATATCTTTCACCAGTGGAAGATACCATATCTTTCACACGTGAAGATATCGCTGTTGACATAGTAACGTATTTTAATAAAGAATTTTTGAGCTTTTGTTTTATTTAAGTTTCATCGATATCTATATAATAAACAGATCATTACATGGCCGCTTGTAGATACGAATTTTATCTTCTCGTGTTCAATTTAGATATCTCACTCGTGAGATATCAATAGACCCCTTTCGAATTCCAAATTACCGCTGTGTTTCTTGATCACAGACTCATTTGCACAGGGTTAGCCTCGAGTTTCTGCACAATATTCACGTGTTCCAGTCAAGGTCCGTCGAGTTTCAAAATGTTCGTATTGTTGAAGTTGTGCATTCTTTACTTTTCTGTTGGTATTTGTGAATATTTAAACACTGATACGAGACTAACCCTGTGCAAATAAGTTTGTAATCAAGGAACACAGCGGTAATTTGGAATTCGAAACTGGTCTATTGAACACTCGAAGATAAATTTCGTATCTCCGCGCGCCCATGTAATATCCTCTATATTTCATGTTTTCTTACCTTGACCTGTGTCAAAATATTCTTCAGTTGTGTTTGTAATATTGCTGGATCGATGTCTTTCGTTGTACTGTGAAAAGAAGATTTGCATAAGGCTTTAATCAAAGTCATATTACACTTCAATCTTGGCGCCTGCTTCAAAAATTGAATACAATTTTGGTTTTGACAAATGTGTATAAATAAATTTCGAAAGTTACCTTTTCTTGAGGCAATTTTTCCATCCCGTTTCGCCTGAGGAAGAAAATGTGACGTTAGCTTAACAACCCTGGTGTAACAGATACGACATTGTATGCAGCAACAACGACAACAACAGCAGCAGTTACGAAAAAAACAGCGATAATAATGTGTAGCCTTGAGGTAGGAGACCTAATTCCCGTCTTTGAAATAGAAAAATAAAACCAACCACTATCAAAACAACCACAACCACTAATCAACAACAACAATAGCAGCAGCATCAGCAGCAACTGACAACGACTCAATTGTTTCAGTATTGATTCTATATGAAGTCAATAGTTGAATGATAAGTTATTTTTGTGTGATTTGAGTGATGCAGCTTGGAAATATCAAGGTTTATACTTCCAATATGCTAATGGTGTGATGTCATTATAGGAATTTGAGTTTGTCATCATTTGTAAATTGAAACGTTAAATATTAAGGGGATTTTTTTTTGCAATAACCTTTTGATAAACTCTGAATAAGACAATGATTCAAGTGTATTCTGGTATGGTGTTTTATAGAGGATATTTTACTATCCCAGAAAAGATTTGTACATTTAATAAGGCCTCCTATGACATCACGCTTATTAACATATTGGAAGTATAAACCTTGATATCTCCAAGATGCATCACTCAAATCATATAAAAATATTTCACCATTCAACTATTCACTTCACGAAGGATAAAAACTAAAAATATTGAGTTAGGGGTGAGGGACGTTTTAAAGGCCCGTTCACACTGGCAATGTTTGCTGGGATTTTTTTCGCGTCGATTCTCGAAAATATTTTTTGTGAAATTTTTTACCATTTTTTAATATGACCGAAATCGCCGGAAAAATCGTGTGTGAACGGGGCTTTAAGGTTACGCTCTTCAAGTTTCTCGGATTTCCATGAATACTTCACTAAGAGAAAGATTACTGCACAATGGGTAATGTTCTGCAGCCATACTTATTCCTGGGACGCTTTCGATAGGTATCTGTCGTACACCTTCCTTGAAGCACGTCAAACCAGGATAGATTTTACGGATCTGTTCTTGTTTACGCGCTGTTAGCTTCTTGACGATCTGCAAATACAATTCATGACGATTGTTTTTTTCTCAAGCACTTTCTACAGAATACAATATGTATGTTTTTATACTTAATGTTATGAGGAAATACTAAGATGAAGTAGTTTTATAATTGTTACGAAGTTTACAAAATTTACATTTAGAAGTGAAAACCAGCTGAGTGGTGAAAGCGGCACGCAAAGCATGAGTGCACTAAATGACCCTCCTATTCTCTTATTTTCTTTCCTATTTCTTTTTTTTTT